TTACTCTAATTTTTTTCCATATACCCTTCAATAGACATTAAATGCATATTGCATGTATGTGCATTGATAAATATATTTTCTAAGATATAGAAACAAAATAACACTCTATAATGTTATTCTTCACCTTGATCTTCTTATTTAACTTATATTGGAGCTCCTTCTATAAGGCACACACAAATTTACCTAGTTCTTCCTCAGCTAGATAATGCACTGTCATGAGGATGTATCACAATTAATCTACCAAGCTACCTAATGAAGGGAATGTTAATTGCCTCAAATCTTTTGCTGTTATGAACAATGATGAAGAAAACTTACTATGTATGTGTTTGAACTCATGCAAGTTTATTTGTAGGTCAAATTCCTAAAAGTAGAATTCTGAGTCAAAATTATGGGGCATTTTATATTTGATAGATATTTTCAAATTCCTTTCCAAAACTTAAACCTTTATATTCTTACCAGCAGTATAAAAGGGTGCATTTCCTTGTATTCTTATGAACAGTGTATTTTCCAACTTTATCAATCTCACAGATGAGAATGTATTACCTTTTAATTTGCATTTTTATAATTATGAGTAAAGTTGGCCATTTTGTCAGATGTCTAAAAGTGAATAGGTTTATTTTTTCAAACTAAGTTAAAATGACAATCATAATTTCTTTTTATTGGGGCATGCATTTTTTAAATTGTATAACCTCTTATTAAATTTTAAAAACTTTCTGTTATGGCTAGGACTCCATAGATATGTTCTTTAACTTACTTGCTCGTTATTTTTAATTTTAATTTTTGTATGTCCTTGTGGATATTAAATCGATTTTTTTTTTAGGTTTGAATCTAATACATATGGGAAGTTTGATGTTGTGTTTGACTTGTGGGTGCTTGCCTGAGATTCTGCATGATTGATGAAAGTACAAGATGAGGTTAGACAAGAAGTTGACTTACTTGAGGGCAGATTCTTGAGAAATCAAGCATTTCCTAATGACCCGCAGAGCCTCTGAGGACATTTGGTATCTTGATAAGATCTGTAAGTAAGCAAACGTTATTTTTGGTACCAGCTGCCTCAGCATTCCCTCTCTGGACTTTTTCTGCATTATGTACTCCTGACAGGAAAATTGAAAATTAACTGATAATGTATATTGGTGTTACAGCTCTTAAACACTCAATTCATGCTATGTGTAGGCACGGTCCTGAGCAAAAGCTTATGAGGTTGGTACAATTATGTCCATGTTTTATTTTATTTTATTTTTTTGAGTTGGAGTCTCACTCTGTCTCCCAGGCTGCAGTGCAATGGCACAATCATGGCTCAACTCAGTCTCGACCGCCTGTGCTCAGGTGATCCTTCCACTTCAGCCTCCTGAGTAGCTGGCAGTACAGGTGGGTGCCGCTATGCCTGGCTTAATTTTTGGTTTTGTAAAGATAAAGTCTTGCCGGGCTCGGTGGCTCAGCCTGTAATCCCGCGCTTTGGGAGGCTGAGGTGAGTGGATGCCTGAACCCACGGGTTCGAGACCCGCCTGGGCAACTTGGCGAGACCTCATCTCTACAATAAATAAAAAAAAATAGCCAGGCATCATAGTGCACACCTGTAGTTTCAGCTACTTGGAAGGCTGAGGCGGAAGGATTGCCGGAGCCCAGCAGGTCGAGGCTGCGGTGGCCGGGAGCGTGCCACTGCCTTCCGGCCTGAGTGACAGAGTGAAACTACAACTCAAAAAAAAAAAAAAAAAAGATAAAGTCTTGCTATGTTGCCCAGGCTGGTCTTGAACTCTAGAACTCAAGTAATCCTCCCACCTCGGCCTCCCAAAGTGCTGGGATTACAAGCATGAACCACTGTACCTGCCTATGTCTATATTTTAGATGAAGAAAGTAAAGCATAATTTGCCCAAATCATACAGTAGGTGGGGTCAGAGTTTTAGCTATGGCCATCTGACTCCCGAGCCCTTTCTCTTGACTACTGTGCTGTACTACTGCTGTCAGAACACCCCAGGGTTGCCAAGGGATATTTTAAATTTTTAAAGGAAACACAGTAACATCTCTTGGATGCGCTACAGATGGCTAGCTTAAGCTGGCTCAGCATTTAAACATTAGATCACACTCTGTTTCTTTTGATGACATATCTTTGCAAAACCGGATTTCAGCAGTGCTGCGATAAAAAACAGGAGTCATGCAAAGCCCAATGCAAAACAGGAAATGAAGGTGACTGTTTCTCATTCCAAAGTCTGAGAAGTTGTGCAGTGCCCAACAGGTACATATATCCCGTTAGTAAATAATTCTATAAAATGACATGAAATTTTATTTTTTCTTTCAATTTATTTGTATTGTTTCTTCAAATGACTTCCAAGTTATTAGGAAATTGACTTAATAAATAAGTTGTTTGGACCTAGCTACTTGATAAGTAGGACTGTTAGGTATTTCTTTTTTCCTAGGAAAGTCATAAAAACATTTCTGAGATACCACGAGTGCCACAAACTGAGAGTTTAGGAACTTCTGCAAGCACGTGTCTGCTAGAATAGAGAAAAGAATGTAGAATTTGGCACAAGATAGGAAATCAGTAATTAATATCTCTTGTTATCACATCAGTGCTAAGGTGTTAAGGATTTCATAGTAACTCTCACATGAGTATTTGGTTAGAATTGATCTTAGAAAGAATAACCGAAGGAAGTATCTCAAAGGAGTGCATTCCAGCAGGTCTAAAGCGTGATGACCAGTGATGTTCTCACACCATAACTATCAATGGAGAAGACTTCTGTGACCAAATGCATGCTGGTTTTACCCCACACCCCAAGCAAGCAATTCTGCAGCGGACACAAGCTGAGTGTCCTTCTATTCAATTTTGACAATGTCTACCTGGAGATAGTGTCAGATCCCACGGAGTATGGGCTCAGTCCACAAGACTGCCCCGCCTTCAGACACTAGATGCAAGTCTAAACCTTTGGACCATCTGACAGACCAACTTCAAGTTGGAGTTCCCATGACCCCGTCTTTGGGTTCAATTAATCTGTTAGAATGACACTGAACTCAGGGAAACACATTTGCCAGTTTATCATAAAGGATATTACAAAGGATCCAGATGAAGAATGCATGCGGTAGGCTTGAGGGGAGGATTGTGGAACTTCCATGCCTTCCTGAGGCATGGCCCATCCAGGAACCTCTCTGGCTGTTCAGCTATCTGGAAGCTCTCCAAACTCAGTCCTTCTGGGAGTTCTAATAGAAGCTTCATTATGTAGATGTGGTTCCTTTGGCCACTGACCATTGATCAACTTAAATAGACATGGTTCATTTAGCCACTGGCCATTGATCAACTTAACTTTCAGCCCCTCTCCCCTCCCTAGAGGTTGAAGGGTGGGGCTGAGCGTCGTAACCTTCTCTTCATGCCTTGGTCTTTCTGGTGACCAGACCCCATCCTGAAGCTACCTATGGGCTGCCAATCATCGGTCATTCATTAGCTTACAAACATAGATCACTTTGGAGCGTCTAAGGATTTTAGATATATGCCAGGAAACAGGGTTGAAGACTAAATACAGATTTTACAATATTACAGCAGGTGTCTTTAAAATTATGACCAAGGTAAAATGTATTCTGAATTATATCTGGGATCTGATCAAGATACTACCTATCTCATAGGTTTCTTGTAAAGATTAAGTGAGTAAGCCTAAAGAACAGTGCCTGGAATATAATGGACAGTCAATGAATGATATATTGTTAATATTTATTATTATTATCTGTTTTTCTTTATCATCATCGCTACCATTTTCTCTGGAGGATATATAATTTCACCAGCACACCAGGATCATTAGTTCATCATAAAATATGGACAAAATTGTTGGCTTGTTAGTTTTTAAGACTAAAATCCTAGGGTGCTATTGGAACCCCAGAGCTTTTTAAGGCCCATATTTTAATTGGCAGAAGCTTTAGAGGGATTTCCCTTGAGTTCTTTGAACCAGGATTTTACAGACAACTCATCTGATAAACATTTCCTTAAATCTCCTTGGGCCCCAGGTCTACACCCATTTGGAACAGCCTCTAGGGAAACTTTGGGAACAAATTGAATTTTTCTTTCATCTATCTGATGGATTTAAGTTTTACTTTTCTTGCCTGTCTGGTATTAGTGACAAGACATATATTCTTGATGCTTTTTGACCTAAAGTTAATATGCCTAGTCCATAAAGTCTCTTACTGGGACAGTCACCTCTTAATAGCACTTGTAAAATACCACTTTGTGTTATTAAGATATTTGTATGGTCTTTCAGTTTAGAAAGCACTTTAATATCTTTTATTTTCATTATCACAGTGTTTCTCCAAAACCTAGACAGGTGGAGATTTCACTTCATGGATGAATAAATTGAGGTCAGAAAGTAATGTGACTCATCCAGGATCATGCAACCAGCTTATAACAGATCCATGCCTAGAAGCACAACTCTTATTTCCAGCTTAGTATTCTTTTTATAATCCTGTGTTCTGCAATCTCTCTGCCTCCTGCCCTAAAATGGGGAACAGAATATGAGACTACTCAGAACTCCTGAGGTCAATGCTGAGTCCTATCTTTTGATCTTGAAAAAATAATTCATCCTCTCTGAATCTTTATTTCTTCATTTGTGAAATTAGAAAATAATATTAGTGTAATTTTCTGTAGAGTTGTTGTAATTAGTGTTGGAAGCAAGATTCAAATCCAGATAATGTGGTTCCAGAGTCTATGCTCTCAACCACTAGCCATACTGACTCTTGCCATTTAAAAGGGGTAAACTAAAACATTAAGAGTGCCAGGGTTGCATAACAAGCTAGAGATAGAGTTGTGGTAACTGTATCAGCTATTGCTGTTAACTCTAACTGAATCTTCTAAAGTAACTCAAAGCTTCAAAACTCAAGAGGATGAAGTTACACTAATATTAAGTGACCTATGTTGTCATTCAAAGTGTAGATGCAACCTTGATGAAAAGACTAGAATTTTAGAAATGTCTTTATTCTAAAGTGCTTGTTAAAGAGTGTCAGAAAATTTTACTTTTTTCTTACAGCACTGGGAGGTGTTCAAAAAAGTTACAGAAGTTTTCATTTTGGTTCCTGCACTTCTTGGTCTTAAAGGGAACTTGGAAATGACATTGGCATCCAGATTATCCACTGCAGTAAGTTTTTTCCTACCTCAAAATATATATATTACCTATACTGTTGCTCCCTGTTAAGGAGAACCTGTATCAGGAAGATGTTTTTCTTTGACTACCCAATACATTTCTGAACCTCAGGGCTATGCTAGGTATTTATACCTGATATCATACCCTGAAAGATTGTCTAATCTGAGAATTATCCTGAGAAGTATATTTACCTCCTTTGATGCCAGGACATTCTAGAAATTATCATCAGTACTTAAGACAATGGGGTAAGTCAGATACTAAGATTCTTTATGGTTCAATGGTTAGTTGATTGATGTCTAAGATTTTTGTGATTACAGAGCAAGCCTCTTTCGGGTACCCTCCCACTTGAGAACTTTTCTGGCTTCTTAATAAACTCTTGTCATCTTTAAAAAAAAAAAAAGATTTTTGTGATTGTTAAAGTAATACATGCTTATTGTAAAAACTGTAGAAAAGGTAATAAATATAAAGAAGAAAACCTCAAACAATCCCAAATTCTCTACTTAGACATAACCACTATTCATATTTTGGTATAGATCCTTCTATAACTGCATATCTATGTTTATACATTATTAGGTAAACCACAATATAAGTACAGGCTGTAGGTTCTAAAAAAGACCTGGAATCCTATATATTATCTTATAATCCATAATCTCTGCTTTAAAATGCATCATGATCATCTTTTCATGTCAGTAATACATGTAGAGCTTTCCATGTCAATAATACATGTCTATCTCTAGCTTGTTATGCAACCCTTGCTGTTATTGACTAGGTGCTTTTCTGCTGTAAAGTGCCACACATTTAATCCACTACCCGTTACTAGATATATAAGCTCTTCCTAATGTTCTGCTATTATAAACGATGTTATGATGAATATATA